TTTATCTATTTATTTAGTATCCATTTAATATTTTTTAAAAGTAATTTGTCAAAAATATATTATTTCAATCTCTGTAATTCTTAAGAAAAGTTTTTTGGCTCTTAAAATTTATTTTTTTTGCATTTTGATCACTTCTTTATAAATATTTTTGGTCCTCAAAGTTTTTTTAAAAAATATTTTAGTCTTCGATTTTTAAAATTTATGTAATTAGATTATTTTATGTTTCAAAAAAAAAATCAAGATAAACCCTTGAGTATTAATAGGATATTCATATTCTTGGATCATATTAACGAGATATACATTTTTTTTATTTTACATACTTTAATATCCATTAAATATTTTTAATGGATATTTATTGATCCGAAAAAACGGATATCCGTTTTTATACCTGATCCATTGCTATCCTTAATTGGGTCTCAAATATTTCAAAAAATTCTCAATCAAGTCTTTTTGTTAATGCTAGTTAATATATATTTTTTTAATCAAATTTTCTTCAAATTAATGCCGTTTTAGACCATTAATAAGCATATTACACCAAAAAATTGTTAATTTTCTGTCATTTTTTTTCAAATTGACGCCATTTTAGTATATAAAATATGGTCGTTAGATTTAAAATATTTTTTAAAACAATTGATAAAGAAAACAATTAAGAAATGTAGGAAGTGCTTGGGATCTAATTGATAAATTTATAGGTTTGAAATGCAATTGAGAATAAAATGAGGTTTTTGCTAATATTCTATCATCTATTTATTGCCACTGAGTCGTTTGGTTCGTGCACTTGAACTTGTATTTCCCTACCATTCTTTTGAAGCATTGCTTTTGTGGGGTTAGTAGTCGTGTCCTTACCAATGCAATATACCCAACGATGGAGGTTAGATAAACCACATTTCATTTCTAATTAGTACTAAACACGCTTCCACTCTTCCACTTTCACAGAAAAGTGCAGTGTTTTTTTCTCTTTGAACGGTCGAAACACAAATCTGTTCAATAAAAAAATGAAAAAAAAAAAAAAAAGCACAAATCTGTAAAGCAAGATCTAACCATTCAAAGTCGTAAAAGCTAGACCTCCCTACAGAGTAGAGCCCAGTCAAAAAAATCTTTAGACCTGGGTCGGAGCTCAAGGGCCTATATTATGTGGTCCAAATAGAAGTGAGCCGAATTTGAAACCCATATTCTATTCGGACCAGTGAAACTTAAAGATCCCCATATTCTTGCGTAGGTTAAATAATGGCTAGATGAGACTTTGACAATTGGTTTCTAGACTTCTAATTTTAGACTGAATCTCTATTTAACTATTCTTTATTTAAAATAAAAATTTTATATTAGATTTGATCAATTTTAATGATAGAATTATACGTGACTCATATGTAATTAATTTTTTAAACTTTTTCAATAATAAAAAACGCACTAAAACTTATAGATGTTTTGTTTTTTCTTCTAAAACTTGTTTCTTTCATTTTAAAATGTTATTTAATTCCTTGTAATGTATTGCACTTTTATGTTATAATTGATGACAACCTAAAGTTAGAATCTAATTTCAAATGAAAAATAATGGAAGAAGATTCAATCGAAAATTGAAAGTTAAAAGATCCATTATCAAGTGACTTAAAGTTAAAAGAAGATTTGAACAATTTAACCTTAAATAAATTAAAATTACAATTGTAATTTTAATCGAAAGATGTTTGATACGAGCAATTGTAGCCAATTATAGTTTAAATTATTGAATTCATGGGATTTTACATGACATAGTTATTATTATTATTATTATTATTATTATTATTATATGTTGATGGTAATCTTGAATATAATTATTATTCGCTAGTATTAATCTATAGAGAACTTGATAATATGATCAAAATAACATATGTATTTGATTATGAAAATTATAATTGTTTTCTTAAAATAAATAAAATTAGATAATCCAAGTGATTCAAATTTTAGAATTATCATTTAAATATATATATATTTTTTGAATGCATCAACTAGATTTAAAGATAATATTTTTAAAATCACAATAAGAAAATGTTTAATTTTGATTTGTATATAAACTAAACACTTTAAATATTTTAATATAAGATAGTTAAGAATTCGGATTCAAATTCCATCTCAAGCAAAGGAATATTTTTTAATTAAAAAAATCTTAAGAAGTGACATTATAATTATAAAAAAACTAAAAGAACCGAGGGCGACATTGTTCATTCACTGTAGCAGTGCTTTTTTTTTAAAGGGTTGGGTTGCTAGAATTGTTCCTTCACTATAGCAGAGCTTTTTTTTTTTTTTTTTTTTAAAGGGTTGCGTTGCTGAAACTTACCTTCGCTATAGCACTGTGGCTGTACCTTTTTATGTATATATATATATACACGGTTGGCCTCTTTTTTTTTTTTTTTTTAAAGGGTTGGGCTGCTGGAACTGTTCTTTCACTATAGTATTCCTTTTTTTTATTATTATAATTGGTTTTCAGTTTCTATATGTTCTCAGATGACAATTGTTTCCTTTCTATATAAATAATTTATTTTTATATTTTTTATCATGAAATTAGGTATGAAAATATAAAAAAAATTATATTTTTTGTAGTTTTATCTATAGTTTGACGAGTAATAGAATATATATGGTATTTTTAAAAAAATTTAGTTTGAACATACATATCTTATTATATTATTTTTATTATTTAAAATTTATATATTCAATTATTTGTTTCTTATTAAAATTCTCATTGAATTAATTTTTAAATTTTATATAATTTTTTTTGTTAATAAATTTGATTTTTTATACATGGCTTTTGAAATAAAGTTTTAGGACATGTTTAAAATATATTATTATAATTTATACCATTGATTATTTTTATGATTTTTTTTTAATGAAAATGACATTGTTGCATATATAAATTATGATGTGTGTGTGTGTGTGTGAGAGAGAGAGAGAGAGAGAGAGAGAGAGAGAAGTGTGTTTTAGATAATTTGACTTGATTTTTTTTAAAAAATAATAATCAGTTAAAAAATTAATTTGACTCTTTTTTTAAAAAATTAATAATTAGTTAAAAAAATTTATAAGTTTTATTTGCTTTATATATATATATATATATATGATGAGGGCGAGAGAGAGCTAAAAGTGTGTTTTAGATAATTTGACTTAAGTTTTTTTAAGAATAATAATCGGTTAAAAAAATAATTCGACTCAATTTTTTTTAAAATAATAGTTAGTTAAAAAAATTCACGGAGTTTTATTTTGTTTATATAAATAATCAAAATTTATCGAAACCAATTTTATAGTATTTTTTATTTAATTTTATTTACTTACTTTGATATATTCCATGCGATTTACGTGGGTTTTTTTAAATATTTTATTTATTTATTTCATATACTCTAAATCATCTAAGTACCATATATTTTTAAAATATTTATTTATTTATTTTATATACTCTAAATCCATCAAGTACTATATATATAGTTTGTTAGAAATTAATTATATCTACACACATAACACTAATTATTTGTTATTTATTTATTTTCATGTTCTAAAATTTGTATTTTTAAATAAAATAATTTAATTAATATTTTGAAAGAACCTCTTAATTATTCAAATATAAATTTTTATACTAATATTATAAATTATTTTGTTAATAAATATATATAAATCAAATAAGTTCGTTGAATATATAAATTTGATTTATATTAATTTTCAGAAACAAAATATTTACTCATATCATACCATATGAATTGTTAATTTTTCATATATATATATACATACATATATGTATATATATATATATATATATATATATAATGGTTATCCAATCGCAATATATTAAGAGTGTCTAACTAGTTTCGTGCCAAAGAAACAAGTTGGCAAAGATTCACCAAGGTTCTGTATTCATATTAATAATTAAATAACATATTTAAGGTTCGTTTACTGCTCTCTCATCATGCACAGTTTTCTATCTATTATGTCCTAATAACCTTTATCAAAAATTAACAAAAAGCATAAGCCGCAGATTGATGCCACGTGGATAGGATAGAAGGGCTACTCTTTCTAACCACTCCTAAATATTTTACCTGCCCCCTCTCTTCGTACTGATTTAAAAAAGCAGCGCAGTATCATTCATTGTAACCTACGTCAACAAACATCATTTCAAAACCCCTATCAATAAAGTTCATAATGTTGAAAATAAGCAAAAATAATAATACATGTCATTTTCAACAAATTAACATCACATCCCACATTTCTACCCCAAGTCACGCATGTAGAACACAGGAAAACCTAAAAGAAACACCACAATATTCCTACATCATTTTCCTATGCTTTATTTTCAACACATAATATTCATATTTTATTATTTTCACTATGAATTGATGATCCGGTTATGTATTTAAGAAATAAAATTTTTATTTTTTTTACAGCTTTTTGTTAAAGATAACGAGGTTTACAGCAAATAAATTTACCAACACACTTCAGACGCATCTTTTTTATCTATTACATAAATTAAAAACAAGAAATATTCATAGCTTAAAAGAATTTAATAAATCTAAGAGGAGAGAGAAAGAGAAAGTAGCTACGAATCAGCCAAAAAAGCTACGTCGCATCTCCCCACTCCGTCATTATCTTCCATCTCATATTTTATTTTTATTTTTGTTTTAGCCAAGGAGGAAAAAAAAAAAGGCGGAAAATTAACAGAGAGAAATGAGAGTGCTTGTGCGTGTGAGTGAAATCAAATCATATCTTTCAATCCATCGAGGGAGAGAGAGAGAGCGTGAGATTTAGAGAGAGAGAAACAGAAAAAGTAAAAAAAAAAAAAGGCATCGAGGTGAGAGAGAGTGTGTGCGTGCGCGCATTTCTCTATGTGAAATCTCTGGATTTGTTTCCAGTTCTAGTGGTTGATTAATCAAGAAGTAGCATTCTGAATGGAGATGATTTCTAGCTGTTGATGCTGTTGTTTCAAATCTGAGTATCAGATCGATTTTTTATTATTATTTTATTTCTGGATAACAAAGATTTAGCTTGAAATGAACGGAGGCGGCAGCGAGGAAGCTGCGGAGGCGGTGGCGGCAGCACAGGCGGGGGCGCCGTTGCCGCTCGACTGGAAATTCGCGCAGGTTTTTGGAGAGCGAACGGCTGGTGAAGAAGTACAGGAAGGTACGATATGATCTGTGGTTAGGGTTTGTGATTCTGTGTTGTTGGTTTATTAATTATTGATTCTTGTTCAATTGTGGATTTAACTGTTCATTTCATGTGAGATTAGTTTTCTGTTATTGTTTTTGTTTCAGTTTGATGATTGAACTGTGTTTGTGTTATGGAATAGTGTTAGAGTTGGTGTTTTTGTAGCATTAGAAGTGTAGATTTGGAGCAATGTAGTGTAACTTAAGTTTCAGACTTATTATGGGCATAGTGATTAGTCATTGAGGAGGGATTTGCAGCTAAAATTAGAATGCTGTTGCATGGGGTTGGTACTGGTTTGATGAAGTTCATGCTGTGGTGGTTAACTGTAACAGTTTTGTGTATGACGGTATGGATGGTTAAATTGATGGTAATACGGATTGTGGATCGTGTGCTGTGTCTTGCAAACTGCTACAGAGGACATATTGATTCGTGCATTAATCTTATAAGCTTAGTTGCATGTATGCAGTCTCTGCAGGGGTTCTTGCAAGCTGGGAAGTTTGGGGATTTAAGTTATCTTTTGCAATATTTGTGAGAAGGACAAAGTTATCTTTTTTTATTTTTTTTAAAGTCATCTTTTACATATTAGTTGGGTTTGATTGCATATTGTTCTGAGAAATTGGGGACAGAGAAGCCAATGACATAGAAGCGAACTGGCAATTGGGAGAATAGAAATTTAATTGTGGATGGCATGGTTCATGATCATGAGATGACTTACTGGCTTAGTTATCTACAAGGGTTCAATGTATGAAATGTTAGAAAATGGGGTTGGCATTTGAGTTCAAATGATTTGAATGTATTTGCTTGCTCAATATCTCTACTTTAAGAGACTAGACTGGTGTTAGAACTTTGAAAGTACTACTATGCGTTCCAAATTCATTGTGGTTTGATGTGTAACCTGGTTATCAGGATCAAAATTCGTGGAACTGTCACACATCTCATGAATAGATGGAACAAACTGCCTATGATAGTCAGTATTGTGATAACACAATGGAAAAGGCACTGGTAGGGAGGAGAGTGATTTTGGGCTCAAATCTTATCATTGATAAATGTAACGAAATGTTTATATCAGATGATAACATTGTAAGTTGTCAATGCAAACCTGCTTAACTGTAAATTTGGTACATTTGGCTCTGATTCTGCATCCACTGGTTGGCATAGAATGGTAGAAAAATGAAACAGCCAAAGCAGAATGACTGAATGTTGTGGGCTTGTAATGCTTCAAGCCATGACTTGCAGTACTGAAAAGTCAGATTACTGGTCCACTGTTTCGATAGGTCAAGTGGTATTTAGGCACCAGGATTCAAAGCTTCCCTATGAACGCTATGCTTATTGCGTTTCATGTGCTTGTGATTGGTAATCAAGAGATATGAATTATTTTTCAACTCAATATCCTTCCCCAGGAGGATGAAACATAGAAACCAATTGAAAGTCAATTTGGAAGACATTTTTATCCATAAAACTCTTTTACTTCAAAATTTTCCTTGGAATTGTGGCGTCTCTTCCTCACCTTCTTACTTCTATTAATTATGGGCTTTTGCAGTCGATATCATATCTGCCATTGAATTTGATAGAACTGGTGACCATCTCGCTACTGGAGATCGTGGAGGTCGAGTGGTTTTATTTGAAAGAACTGACACAAGAGATGTGAGCAAATATAGGCATATTATTAAAGCAATCTTCTTTGTTTCATTTTTTTCCCGCTGTTGCGATATAGCTCTATGACATAAACTTACATTGTTTAGCATGGTGGAAATCGGAGAGATCTTGAGAGGATGGATTTTCCAATTAACAGGCATCCTGAATTCCGTTACAAAACAGAGTTTCAGAGCCATGAACCTGAGGTATTTACCTTTTCCTATTTCAGGATTTTTTTTTTTTTTGTTGTTAATCAATGAGATTTATATCTGTTTAGGTGTATCTGTTTAAATCTTTTCTGGATTCAGGATTTGATAAGTATTCATCTTTGTCCATCTATCTTAGTTTGATTATCTAAAGAGCTTGGAAATTGAGGAGAAGATCAACAAGATTAGATGGTGCCAGTCAGCCAATGGTGCACTATTTCTTCTGTCGACTAATGACAAAACGATCAAATTTTGGAAGGTAGGGTGGAACATTTTTTATTATTTTTTTATTTTTTCCTATCAAATTTTAGCTACATTGTAGTAGGTGATTTCTACTCCTCTAGCTTTCTAGTTGGTTTCATTCCAAGTTTCTAACCAATGGAAATGCTTTTAGTGTAATCTCTTTCGAGTCAGTCTATGTTGCAGTAGTTCATATTTTGAATCTTTATTAACTAACAGAACAACTTGATGTGTTAAGAAATCTAGAAAATAATGGAATTTTCTTATCAGTGGTGTTTATCTAATGTGCTTGTTCTAATGGTGGACAGGTCCAAGAAAAGAAGGTCAAGAAAATATGTGACATGAATGTAGACCCTGCAAAAGCTACTGGAAATGGTCCTGTTGTAGGTCCAAGCATATCAACAAGCTCCAAACCATATACTGCCAATGGAGGATGTTTGGATAAACCCTTGGGTTCGAACAATGACTTTTCTTTCCCACCTGGGGGTCTCTCGTCTCTACATTTACCCGTGGTAGTTGTATTCACTCTAATAGGCTTGTCTATTCATGGAAATCATGATTTGACATCTGGAAAGGCTTATTATAATATTTTCTACTTTAGTGATTTCTGGTTCTTACACCTATTACATTTTTGTTATCCAGTTGACCAGTAACGAGACGAGCCTTGTGCCTAGGTGTCGGAGAATATATGCTCATGCCCATGACTATCATATTAACTCCATTTCTAACAACAGGTGCATTCACTTATTCATAGATGTGCAACTCGCATTTTCTAAATGCCTTGTCTGCCTTGTCTTTAACATCGCTTATTAAATGTGTGTGTGTGTATATTTTTACTTGATGTTCATTTTGATTATGCTCTCATTTTCTTTTAATTGAGTATTTGATCTTGTAATGACATGTGACATTGAAGAGCAATGTAATCTTATGGCATTTCTTTGAAGAATCGAGTCTGCATTATTTTGATTTTTTGGACAGATTTATATGTTTGTTCATCATACATAATTTTCCGGAACATTGTCAAACCTGAAGGCATGCTCTTCAACTATTATAGTCATAACATTCTACATTATTGGTTATTCCTTTGTTTTCTCTTTTGCAGTGATGGTGAAACTTTTATATCTGCTGACGATCTGCGAATAAATCTTTGGAATTTGGAAATAAGCAATCAGAGTTTCAATATTGTTGATGTAAAGCCTGCAAACATGGAAGATCTGACTGGTAAGAATCCCTGCATTTTGCATGATATTAAACATGCCAGTATTTTATTATGTTTTTGGTTTTAAATGTTGTCTAAGGGGTATTCTGGTTAGATAGATCGATGTTTTTTGGTTTTAAAAGTTGTCTAAGGGGTATTATGGGTGGATAGATCAAGAAAGATTCTAGTTAGAGTCTTATTGAGCTTGGTATATGATCTTTCCTGTTGTGCATGTGCTGTTGTTTAGTTCTCTTATCCCTTTTTCTGCAAGCATGTGTTATTTGGTGCGAGAACAACTTTTCTGCTCTTGTTGTGCTTCTTATCCATATAATGTTTTGGATGATTGATGCATTGTATTTATCTAGTGGATTTCAATATTGAAAATCACTTGAATGCTCTGTTTGCTAGATGTTGTCATTGTATAGCATTATTCACACCTTTGAATTCGTGTATGCAGAGGTGATAACATCAGCAGAATTTCATCCTACGCATTGTAATATGTTGGCATATAGTAGTTCAAGGGGCTCAATTCGTTTAGTTGACATGCGACAGTCAGCTCTATGTGATTCTCATAGCAAATTGTAAGTACTTTATAGGTTTTTTGTGAACATGGTTCTCTCTTTTGTTGAATTTTCATGTATTATCTACAGCTTGGAGCGATGAATGTAGCATGAGACGTTGTTTTTTCCTCCTTTACAATATTACTTTTATTATTTTTTCTTTTCTTATGAATATATACATTGTGCTCTCTACTGCCCCAGGTTTGAGGAACAAGAGGTGCCTGGTTCAAGGTCCTTCTTCACGGAGATAATTGCCTCAATCTCAGATATTAAGTTTGCCAAGGATGGGAGATATATTCTTAGTCGTGATTACATGACTCTCAAGGTTGATTTTTTCACGTTTGGTATTTATTTTTCAAATTCAAGCACACCATTTTAATTTGTTCTTCAATGCTGTTTCATAGCATATATGAAACTACCTTGTGCTGGATGATTTTCTAAACTATCTGCCTTGTGTAAGTTGATCGCTTAATCTATGCTGCATACCACAAAACCTAACCTTAATCTATGCTGCATACTAAAAAAACTAATCGTGTGTTTTTATTTTTAATGCTAATGGTGCATTTGGCTTTAGGTTAAAAGATGGAGGTGGATTGTCAGAGACTTAGTTTTTATTATTGTTTAAGGGTGTAAACTTAGTTGTTTGGTTGTTGGTAGAAAGAAAAAGGATTAAAATACTGTTAGTTGTAAGAGAGTGATGATCGAAAAATTATTTGAGTTTTATTTAGTTATTTGAAAAGGAAGAGAGAGAGAAAATATATAAAATAGTTGCGTGTGAATACCCCCTCTCCTTGGACCAGACTAGCTGCTCAGCTTGTTCTCCCTAGGCAATTTACTTCAATCATGTACTTTCCTTCTGCTTTTGTTCTGTTTCACTGTGGCATCTGTTTTCACAACATCTGGATTTCTTGGTTGTTAGTTGTGGGACATAAATATGGATTCTGGACCAGTTTCAACCTTCCAGGTTCATGAATATCTTAGACCTAAGGTGATGTATTGTTCTCGAGAATTTCTGTGTGATTTTAGATGGCATTTAGTAGAGATCATGCTGTGCTGATACAATGTGAGGTGGTTGTGGTTTTGTTCTTTGCTATTGATCAGCTTTGCGATCTGTATGAAAATGATTCCATCTTTGACAAATTCGAGTGTTGTCTGAGTGGAGATGGACTTCGAGTGGCATCTGGTTCCTACAGGTGTGCTTGATATATTTTAACAATCCCTTAGTTCTTGCCATTGTCCTGGTTAATGGATTCCTTACACATCACATGATATACTCTATCATTTCAGCAACCTATTTCGTGTGTTTGGCTGTTCTGATGGAAGCACAGAAGCAACAACATTGGAAGCCAGCAAGAATCCGATGAGGTACACTTGAGAGTGAATTACGAGACTTTTATGTAACTGAGAATATAAGAAGGGTTTGTTTGCACCCTCCAAACATACAAAATTGTGTGTCAAACACTCTCGATCATTTCCTCTGTTATGTTAACTGAAGTTGAACATGACTGTTGGTTTTCAGATGACACTGCTGGCTAAACTCTTATTTCATGTGGTTAATTTATGTTATGAACTGACAGGAGACAGGTTCAAACCCCGTCAAGGCCTTCTAGATCTCTGGGCACTCTTTCCCGTGGTTTTAGGCGAGGTCTGTATATGTTGGTGAAGTTTACTGCTCCTTTTTTCTGAGTTCCCTTAATAATTCCATGTGGTCTCTCACTTAATTGTTCATCATCTGAGCTAACCCTAGAAAGCAAGTTTTTGGAACTTGTGTTTTTTTTTTTTTTCCTTGAGTTTTAACATCCATTTCGTTCATTACTTTAAAAGGAGCTGATACCTCTGGAGTTGATTCAAATGGAAATGCATTTGACTTCACAACCAAGTTGTTGCATCTAGCATGGCATCCAACTGAAAACTCACTTGCCTGTGCGGCTTCAAACAGCCTTTACATGTATTATGCATGAAGATGGCCCTGGAAGATCATGCACTTTGGCTAGGCAAAGTTACTTTTGCTGCTTCTCGCAAAGGCGTTGCTGCCTTCTCTCCTAACACATATGTGGAAGCTTCACCATTTGACGGAGATCGATGTTGCTGTTGTTCAAGTATCAAGGAAGTACTATTACTTTTGCTCCCAGGCAGGCATGCCTCACTAATTATATTCTTTCACAAGGAAAGATGCAGTTCTATCCTCATATTTTTTTTTGGTTTAGGTCAAAGGAAATGCAATCTTAAAACAAATGTTTCTACATAGTGCTGCAAGGTTTTTGGACCTGTAAGGTCTTGAATCCAATCCGGGCAAAGGAGCGGTTAGGTTGAATCAATTCTCATTGATACGTTGGGCGTCAACCATGTACCATTAGAACTTAGAACTCGAGGCTTGTGAAAATTTTATCATGATTATTGTTATTCCATATTCTAACCATTCTTTTTTTGTCGTTCACAGGGTTTGCCTTTTTTTTTTTTTTGGGGGGGGGGGGGGGGGGGGGGAGAAATAATGGTTCTTTTGGGAAGAACAAAAAGTCTATGCAATCATTATTCACTTCTTAGTTCATTTATGATTGTCAAATTATGTAAGACTGAGTATTAATGATTGAGGGTACCCAGCGTTCCGCGAATTGAAGAAGCACCGTTTTCTTTTGTTTGGTTTCTGAACTGCTCTTTCCTCGCTTGCCTGTAAGACTTTGATACAAGTTGCGTTAAATTATAAGCAACGGGTTGGATATGCTTCGTAAGTTAATTAAGGAAATGCTGATCCTCATTATAATTCATTATTTAATTTATGCTATATAATGCGTAATACATTGGACGACGCAATTCTTAGCTCAAAATGATCAATTTTTCTTGCATTGCCTAGTTCAGGAAATGAGATCAATGCTCCCATCACAGTTCCGATTATCGTAGCCAAGTTATAACTTCATATCAGGGCTGCAAGAAAATAATGGATGAACTTCTGTAACCTTGTTTTTGTCCTCCATGAACCGTCCAAGATAATCCTTTGTCCTACGGGATAGTACTGCTTATTCTAGACATCAATTGGCTTAAACACACACACACACATCATTTTTTGTAGAATATATACTTGCAATAATCATTGCATTGCAGCCTCTATGTGGTAATAACTGGAGCAAAAAGCACTAGAAGAGAGGTCCAAATATTATAATTACAAATATACTGAAAGGAAACAAATTACTGTGCTTAGCAACTGTGCTTTACTGGTTTCCTATGACCTAGATTATTTTAATTTGCTATAGAACAGTCTGATTTTTTTTTGGAACAATTCAGTGACTGTTCTTCACTCGATGGAATCTCTACCGTTGATGATCGTACATAAATTTTCATTTTGCATTTGATTTAAGAGAATAAAAAAAATGATTTAGAAAGAGCGAAAATTAAACTGCTGATAGTCTCTTTTGTCAATATTGAAATCTTTATAGTGAATTTTAAGTAATTGTTTGTTTTTTGTATAAGTTTCAATATTAATCTATTTTTTCTGTATTCAATTTTTTTTGCACATGTTCTTGAGTAACGAACTTTTTTTCATTCATTAAAAAAAAAAAAAAAAGACAACCAGTTTTTTGGCGAATATCCCTATTTGTGATGGAGGAGAAGAAATCCCCCAAAAATCAAGGAGTCCATAAGAAAATTCTAAATCTTATTTTTTTTTCTATTTTTTTGTTTATTCTTGTTTGAAAATGTCGATCTATTTAGAAACAAACACACCTATATATATTTTATGTTTAGAGTTGAAAAATGGTGGAAATGGAGGCCTTTCCGGCCGGTGATAAATACAGAAAATGGGCTTGAGAGTGAGAAGAAAAATAAGCTAATGGGTGGCCATTTTTAATTTCTTTTTCTTTCACCTTTTCATGTTGTTTTTCCTTCCAAACTTATATTTATGTGATAATATTCTAAAAGATTCTTAAAAACTCAAAAAAAAAAAAAGTAAAAATAAATAAATAAATAAATTGGGATAGCCATTAGCTTACGTAGCAACTTAACTGATTAAATCATACGAAATCTATTTTAAAAATGATGAATTAAAATAGAAAAATTATTATAATTATTATAATGTAACATATTTAAATCTTAAGGGGCTAAAATAGATTTTCCACAATAAACTTGCTTTGGAAGTAAGATAACTCAAGGTTAATACGCGCTCTCATCACAAAAAACAATAGGTTTTATATGAAACGAAATTCTCTCGTTCTTCCCAAATGAAATACAAATAAAACCCAACACATTAAATTATTGCAGCCCTCCGCATTTGGGCTATCTCTCCTCTTAAAACACGTCCTCCGCCTCCATTGCCACCGATATAGTCCAGCGGCCAATATCTTTTAGGCATTTTGTCGAACAAGTTGGTATGAGTGCTTTTTATTGTTGCAATTAAAGAGAAGGTAGATATATCAAACCCAACACATTAATAATAATTAAAATAAATAAAAATAAACGGACTTTGTTATCTTTATTGTGATCCCGGTATTTCCTCATATAATCCAATGCCGCATTTTTATCTAATCATGTATTGATTCGTGGCATATAATATTCATTACTTGTTAAAATTGTATACAATCTCTCTGTTTTTTTCTTTTTGCTAATTGAAGAAATAATTAGCTGGATGGAAAAATCTATAAAATCTAATTAATTCCATAAAGCAACAAAATGATTGGAAAAATGCTCATCTCCATATAATCCGTACAATAATATAGCATATGTAGGTGTTGCATAAAAATAACAAAACCAAATGAGTTCGATTCCCAAATAAGATCAAATTGGTCAATTAATGCCTTCTTTCTTTGGAAACTTCTTAGTCTTTTTTTCCCCCTCAATTAGGGTTAGTTGTTATTCTTGTAGGGGTTTCTTCAATGGTAGTGGTGGTGTGAGTCATGGATCGTCGTGGTATGGCTTCATAGACATTTGTTGGTGGGTGATCATGGGTTGGGTTATCTTTGATCGCCGGTGGGTTTCTCATGGTGTTCGGAGAGGATGGTTGATCGGAATGGCAATGGGGCGGGGATCCTCGCCCTTGCCCCGCCTTTAAAAATTTTACGCCGTCTCTCGCTCCGTACTCGTATGAGACAATATTTCTCATATAATCCCCACCTTAAACGGGGACGAGGATCTCCGTGGGGCATCGGTGCTCCATTTAATTTTTTATTTCCTTCCTATTCCACTCTATTCTATTATCAAATTTCAAACTATAGTAAAAAATAAATAAATAATAGTTCTTATAGAAAATAAACCTTAAAAGTCGGTAGTCACATATTTTATATAAGGTATAATTGTAATTTAAGGGATGGAGCGGAGCAAATGGGACGAGACGAACGGGCAAATACCATCTCCGCCTCATCCCCGTTCAAAATTAATATGAGGTGGGACACCCTGCCCAGTTCCCTAATCAACTCGAGGAATCCTCGCGTTGATCGAACGAGGCGAGGCGAGTGGGGTTTTATCGGGATGGGACAAATTGCTATCCTTAATGGTGGAGGAGGCGCCAACTAGTTCGGGATGGTGAGTTGTTCTTGTGGATAGTAGAAGAGAACTCTATTGCTAGTGGTGATAGAATGTGTAATTGGTGGTTAGGATAAACCAAAGAGCTTGTAGCCGGTAGTAATGGTCTTTTACAATAGTTTTGTTAAGAACCTTGATGGGTGAGTTAAAAAACAAAAACACTAATGGTTAGGATAGGAAAAGAAGGATAGGGAGAGAAGTGTGGCGGGACCACGGTAGTAGTGTTATAGGCAAACAATAAATTTGTAATTTCTCTTTGCGGTTAATCGCATCAAACATCTTTTTTTTTTTTAATGTAGTCCCTCTCATTGAAATCGGTCAACTTTTTGTTTGCAACTAACAAATGAAAACAAAATCACATACCATGCAAAATCAGTAATAATTATACACATAGCAAAAAGAAAAAATAAAAGCCCCTCAAAATTTAGAAATTATAGTCGGACGTAAAGAAAGAAAAAGTTTACCTAGGAATAAAACCTAAGCAATTTTTCTCTCTCCTTTCAACAACGAACAAAATCATTTTTCCCTTTCTCCATTACCTCTATTGGTGAGATTATCTTCTCACCATTGATTCTCATCCATTTTCAGCTAAAATATTGTAATTGTCGTGTATTATTGTTGTTAAATCATCATTTACAAGCCCAAAAACTCCAAACTCCAAAAACCCCCAAATTGAAACCATAAAAACTACTATCCAATAATCTAAGAAGAATCGCGATAAATGATGAGTTGTCTTTGTTTCCTTTTACCAACGTCAATTGATTATTTATTTTTGTTTATTTGAATCGCAATAAAGTAAAAAATAATAAGGTTAAGGAATCTTTCGACAAACAATGTTAGTTGTCTTTGTTCTTCAATGTCAATTTATTACATTTGTGTGATGGGTTTTGATTGAGTAAGTGGTCTCTAATGTGAAAGAGAAGTACTTTATTTGGAAAAAGTATAGAATATTGAAAACTCCACATTTGGAAACCCCAAATTGAAATCCTAAAAACTATGATCCACTAATTAAACATTAATTAATGATAAATGATGAGTCGTCTTTGTCTCCTCTTACCAATGCCAATTGATTATTCATTTCTCATTATTTGAATTGCGATAAAGTTGGAAACATTAAAGTTAAGGAATATTTTGGCAACAAAAGTTAGTTGTCTTTATCCTCAATTGTCAATTTATTGTATTTATGTGATTGATTTTGATTGAGTAGTGGTCCCTAACGTACACAAAGATAACTTTATTAGGAAAAAGTATATATTATTATTTAACTATCCAACTCGTTTAATGTGCAGTCGTTTACTTATGGATAGTGTGAAATGTGCTTCCTTAAATAATATAGTATGTCTTCGTTGTTTTGCTTTTTTGTGCAGTATTGTTTATTGAAGGATATATCCCACTCGTCGGTGCATATGGTTAAACATTGGTTTATTATTTGTGATTGACGGATGAAGAAATT